GAGGATTCTAGATTTTTCTCTTTTTACGTATTACGATTGGGCTCTCGCTTTTGGCTGAGAGAAGGGATGATTTCCCTGGATTGAAATTGTTCTTCATTTTTGTTGAGTATTAATCGAATAACCTTCCTTCCCAATTTAATTTTTCTGTGTTAATTTCTGTTCTCGATTTCTATTCCTCATCATTGGTCCGACCTGCTTGTGATTCTTCCATGCCTCCAATGGAGACACGTGCTCAACAAAATCGCGTGGATCAGCATGAGGAACAGATTACGAAACTTCAATCAGATGTGGTGGAAATCAAGACAGCGGTGCTGGCGATCGAAACAGAGATGCAGAGTGAGGCGGAATTTCGTAAGTTCGTTATGGCTTGGGTTGCGAAACAGGATAAACAACCTTCTTCGGACGAGGGCGGGGTTTCCGGCGTTTCTGCGGTTTCTACTAATCCTCTGACGCCGTCATCCAAGGGTCATGCGGGATTGGTGGGTGAAATTTCGATTCCTCTGCCATGCCTCCACAGCGAACGGAAACGCTTCCGTGGGCAGTGAAGAAGGTGAAGTTGCCAGAGTTTTCAGGATTTGATCCACAGGGATGGATTCAAAAGGCTGAGTTGTACTTTGAGATCAACAACACGCCTCTGGAATTGCGTATCAGATTAGCGCAATTGAGCATGACGGGGGTTGTTGTTCATTGGTTTACCATTGTGAAACAAGTATATGACTCTCTCACATGGGAACAATTAACAACCGCGCTTCTGCAACAATTTGTGCGGGCTTGTGACATTTGTCAGCGTTGCAAAGCCAGTTCTACGGTCCCTGGGGGTCTGTTACAGCCTCTAAACGTTCCAGAAGCTATCTGGGAACACCTTTCTATGGACTTTGTTTTGGGTCTTCCAAAGTCTAAAGGTTTTGATGCAGTATTGGTGGTGGTTGATAGGCTTTCAAAGTATAGCCATTTCATTTTGTTGAAACATCCTTATTCGGCTCGATCAGTGGCCAAAATTTTTGTTCGGGAAGTCATCCGGCATCATGGCATTCCGAAGTCGATTGTCAGTGACCGAGACCCACTCTTCCTCAGCCACTTTTGGCAGGAAATTTTCCGGCTACAAGGAACGAAATTGCACATGAGCTCTGCTTACCATCCTGAATCTGATGGGTAAACAGAGGTCATTAATCGCTGCCTAGAAGCTTATCTACGGTGTTTTGCGACCGATCAACCACGGACTTGGGCTTCTTGGGTGCCGTGGGCAGAATTCTGGTACAACTCGTCTTACCATGTGTCGACAGGGAAATCCCCATTTGAAATTGTTTATGGAAGAAAGCCTCCTTCGATCGTGCAGTTTATTCCAGGTGAAGTACGGGTAGAAGCAGTTGGGCAGGAACTTCGAGACCGTGATGAAGCACTCAAGCAGCTCCGGACTCACCTACTTAACTCTCAAATGGTTATGAAGGAGCAAGCGGATAGAAAAAGGAAGGATGTTAGTTTTGACGTTGGGCAATGGGTTTATGTCAAGCTTAAACCATACCGACAGATGTCCGTAAACCAACGAATTCACCAGAAATTGGCGGCACGATTTTTCGGACCTTTTCAGGTTTTGGAGCGCATTGGTCCGGTGGCTTATAAAATCCAACTTCCACCCGAATCACGGATTCATCCCGTGTTTCATGTGTCGTTATTAAAGAAGGTTGTGCCACCCGGTAAGACTGATATGAGGTTACCTCCTGACTTAGAGCTCGCCGCAGACGATGTGGCGATTCCTGAGAGTGTTTTGGCTGAACGCACCGTTCTGGTGCAGCATGAGTCCGTACTGCAATGGCTCATCAAATGGAAGGGGCGTCCAGGGGACGAAGCGACATGGGAAGATGCGGTAACAATTCAGAACCAGTTTCCGGATGTCAATCTTGAGGACAAGATTGGTCTGGAAGGGGGGAGTAATGATAGGGATCGTGATAAAATAGTTAAAGGAGAGAGTGTTAAAAGTCTATACTAGGAGGGCTAAAAAGGGGCAATCTGGAAGTGGCTAATTCTGTTAGAGGAGAGAGACTATTTGTGGGAAGGGAGGCAGCGTATGGGAGGATTCTAGATTTTTCTCTTTTTACGTATTACGATTGGGCTCTCGCTTTTGGCTGAGAGAAGGGATGATTTCCCTGGATTGAAATTGTTCTTCGTTTTCGTTGAGTATTAATCGAATAACCTTCCTTCCCAATTTAATTTTTCTGTGTTAATTTCTGTTCTCGATTTCTATTCCTCATCAAAATATGTCACAGATTTGAAATAGAGGAAGGAAAAACAGAAGAGAATAAAAGGTTGAAACCTACATAGAGAATTGAAGGTAATATTTTGCCCTTCCCTCATAATTTTTCTCCTGTATGAGGTCAACAAGATGATGCCACAAATTGAATCAAGTTGTGAGTTAAGCAAGTCTTAAAAGGGATAACAATCTCATAATCGTTGATCTACCCACAAATTACTTCTCAAAATGGATTTTATTCTTATGAATATATTGTTAATTTTAAAGTTTTATCAAGTTAATCATTGTTGATTATAAGTTCTATTAGAATTGATAGTACTTGTAATTTTGTTTTAACATTGAATATTGAAATTTAAGATTTCTTTCCCAATTCGCTTACTTTTAATTTTGGCACTCCCTGATTCTCTTCAACTTAAATGAATTCAGATAAGATTCAAATTCAAATAAACATACAACTAATCATACCGGATCTTGGTTTCTAGTAATTGTAAAATACAAATCTGGAGATCAGTTTGGCTAATAGAATTTGAGCTTACATATGTCCATAATCAATTAGGTTAGAAACATCTAGTTGACCTCATACATGCATAAAATAAAAATTAAATATGAGATAATACAAGAGTAGAAAGCAAGACACTCCTTCCTTAAAATGGTCTGCCTCAGCCTTATATCACTACCTTTAAAATTCTACTTCAATGCAAGGCTAGATACACTTTAGAACCCAATTAAATTCACAACAATCAACTAACACTTAATTTGTCTTCTTACATGTCTCCGTGCAAGGCTAGATACATTTTGGAACCAAAAAAGGAGACCATTATCTCAACCAAACAAATTCACAACGATCATGGAACTTCTGTATTTGTGTTTTGGTTTATATATGCCTTTTACATGTTTTATCTTGTAACACCAAGTATTTTGACACCCAATTGTACTTGTCAGAAGTTCCTGCAACCCACGAGTCATATAACAGAAAAATTGAACTTTCAGTGTCAACCCTATCAAAATCTACTTCCATAATTTAAGATATTTGGATAACATTTCTATGCACAAGGTTCTCCGTTCTCAAATAAGCAAATATACCTGCCTCAAAACAACCAAGATTCTATTGGTCCCATCAACTATTTTAGTATTTTATCATTTACAGTTACTTAAACCTTCGGATAATAGCAAACCCTATAACTCTAAAAACGATTCAAGTGCAAGCAAAGAAACAAGAAGACACACCTTCTCTTCCACCTTTTCTTGTTGCTTTTTCACTTTTTCATGCAGTTTCCTTAAACTCATGTTCACTCTCAACCTCTTTTCCTGGTACATTGAAACAAAAGTAAACTCAACTATCAGCCTAAAACAGCATAAGAACACAATATAGGGTACAAGAAACACAACAGAATGTGACAAACCATCCAATGGCCACTTAAAAGTAAGACAATACCTTCACATAGCTGACTCCAAGGTCCTTCCTTGAGTAGCCTCTATCCAAATTGCGCATCACATAATCATTGTAATCTTTAACGATTCTCATGATTATATCGGATGTGGAAATACCTTCTGTCCTTCTTGTCTCCTTAAATCGTCCGATGGCTTTGACCTAATTAATGCAAAAATAATAAAAAGTAAACAAAAATGCATCGTTCCCAAAAACAGATTACACAACTAAAAACTAGTAAGCATGTCCAGGAGGAACACAGGATCCAAAAGTTCGAGAGGATATAATGTAATTTGCAATAACTCTGCATTTACATGTTAATGTATGTACGGGAAAAATGCTAGAGGTGTCTACATAATTAATAGCGCTAAAAAATTCTTCATAAACACCCGCAGGAGCTACAAGTTGTCTAGGGATGTCATGAATATAAGGGTTGTACTATACCCTCACCATGAATGGTATTCAGGGAGAGAGACCTCCTCACATACTGATGGACCAGTCAAGGACCTTTGAACAGCATCAAATATTGGGCGGGATACCTCCACATTATTTACCATCATATGCACAGCAACCTTAGCTAATATAGGATGGATTTCCCTTTTCATTCTATATCTTACACTTTAGGTTTTACAATCAATTTACATGGGTTTACCCCCACAGAAGCAGGAGCACTGAAATTCAAGGCAGAAGTTAAGAAACCTCCTGCGTTGACTTCATCTCATCAAAGAGAAACTAAGAACTTTGAAGCATCTTAATGGTGATTCGTTAGGCAACTACTATAGCAGGGGGGCATTCACCTAGACAGGAGCGGTAAGTGTTGACCTAATTCACTCATAACCCTCCAAGCCACAACCTAGTCATATGACCTAAATCATGGTGAATTCACACACCAAATCAGCATGGAGACAACTGATAGGGTTTCACTATATTTGGTCAAATTCAATAAAAATATAACGGTGTAGAAGCATGCGTAATTGATACTGTTATCATGTTGCATCTTTACCATGCGCTGTTGTCATTTTTTGGTCTTGGAGGTGTTTTAACATTTTCCATCTTTGTTTGGTGCTCTTGATAGTGTGAATGGTGAGAAGCAAATAGCAACCAAGGAGGACTCAAGAATAAGGATCATGTGTAATTTCAATTTGAAACTCGATAGAGCATATCAAGTGTTCACAGCTATTTTTTAAACAAATAAGATTTCTGTTTGGTTCACAGTGGGAGAAGAAAGGAACAACTATGGTTTTGTTCTTTATTTTGGCAACTCAATAGTGGGCATGCATATATACAGAACACTAGACTGTATTGCATATTGTACTTCAAAGTACTGGCATGTACCCACAAATCTTGCATACTGAACCAACCCCATGCACTATAGTCTATATATTACCATTTAACGTGCCAAGCACCTGTACACATCATGAATTGTTGTGTACAGTAGCCCAAATCACGTAACATGTTATCCTATTATAAGATCCCTATCCATCCATTCCTTCACTTTTGTGTTGATCATCCAAAATGAGATGTGGATAACAAATTCCAATTTTCTGCTACATGTGTGTAGTGGACGGCTACATGATTACTTTGTGTCAACATAAACTAGTAAATCTACAATTTCCAGGATTTTGTATGAACTTTCTTTATATTTTAATAACTTTTATATGATAAGCAATCGTAGGAGTTATTCATTTATGATGGAAGATCATGGGTCCAAGTCAATGAAACAATCTCTTTGCAAAGTATAACAAAAATGCAGCATACAAAGACTCCCTTCCACTACCATTGCACACTCAAGGTTTTTGTGCACCTTTATCATCCTTTCATATGCTATAATGTCCCTTTATATGTATAAAGGTCCAACCGGCCATAGCAAAGTATCGCCAACAAAAGTATGATTCAATTTTATTGCACAATCCGCAGAGACTATTCAGGTCCAGGAAGTCCAAAACTGGGACAGAAAAAAAAAACCCTCTACTCTTCTTCCCTTTTTTTAATTTGTTCCCAAATTTATGCCTTCTGTACATGAATGATAGACTCATTGGCCTTTTTCCAGTCATTTCCCATTCTGATATTTTCCTAATGGAGCATGCATGGCAATGACAAACAACATGCTGATAGTGACTATGAAGGGGCTTGATGCTGGTATACGTTTTCTTCAGAAAATGTCAGGTCCTTTATACAGGGTAATGTACCCAGCATAGAGGATTCTCTATTACTGCAACAAAAAGTAACAAATCATGCATAAGAAACCTAGATCTTTTATTTCGGCTCATGTTTTTTGGTTGGGGAGTTGAATCCTGCACAAGAAGCTTTTTTTCCCTACCGAGCATTTTGTGGTCATTTCAGGGTTAATACTTTAATTGTGAATAATGAGCTTGCAAAGCGTGTCTCAGATGGTGGTATGGCTAAAGGAACATGATAGATAAATAAGACAGAAATGAACATTCATAATGCATTAGCTATGGAGGGGCTGCCCAGATATATGGATAGATCATATTGCTTTTGGTTTTATTTTCTAGGTAGCTAATTTTGATCTCAGAATCATGTCCAGCCCTCCGTTGGCGTTGATCAGGTTAGCCTATTTAATAAATAGGTGGACCGTATATGTATATACAACATACATCTGGAGAACAAAGAAAGATGGGGAGTTGCAATAGAAAGACTTTAAAGCAGGAAACAAGTATTTAAAACTTTAAAGCATTACAAACATATTCCCATATTTGGTCAAATAAGTCAGCTTGAGGACCCAAATTTCTATCAACACTTCCATGAAGACAAAAGTACCATGTCAAACTTGATAGACTATAAGTTTAAATTCTTCAAAACATAAATGAAACAATGCCAACTTTGAATTAGGGTTGACCCCTTTGACTGCAGGAGACAGAAGGGCATGCCTAGTTTTGGAACAGATAGTATTATCCATCATTGTGGATTTGTGGGATACTTTTTAAATCGAAAAAGATAAAACCTACAAGTGTTTAATAGAGAATGGCATAAAGGATTCCTCAAACTTAAGCTCCATATCTAATCTCCCCTTGAATTTCAAAAAACGGTATAAGAGACGATGAACTTCCAAAGTGAAGTGTTCATCCCTTGTGAAATCAGTTTACTCCCCAAAGGTCCTACTTCAAACCAAACCAAACAAACCCAGTAAATTCCATCAAGACGTTGTTTATGAGAAAACCCAGCTTCTGAAGAAGATAAGGAAAGCTTGGCTAGAGACTTCAGTCTTAAACAACTTAGTTTGAAACCAGTTTTAGGGAGAGAAAAAGACTTGAGAAGAAAAACAGAGGACAAGAAAACATGTTGAAAGATCCTACTACTCTGGAGTAATTAAATGAACAAAATATTGCAGAATCAAAACTTCCATCTCCAAGTTTAACTCACACGTAGCTCCCTTATAAAGTTGTTCTTTTGACAAATTATAGGACCTGGATGAGGGCCATGTCTCGGTCCCAGTGTGGCTGATCATCCTAGCTATTAACACTAGCCCAGCTAGGAACCAAGTGTTTCATAGTTAGAAGGACCAAAATTAAATTTTCCAGAAATTACAATCTCACCAAGACCCGGAGGCTTTAAGGTAGCGTTTGGTGCGAATACCAGATGAGACACGCAAAATAGGACTACTTGTCTGTCCTATGTTTGGTACGACTAAAAAATGACAAAACAAATCTGCTAAAATAATCAGATTGTCCCCAAAATATTGTTTAATGTTTTTTTATCATATAATAGTTATAAATTACAAAATCATTGGAACATTTAAATAATTCTATTTATAAAATTAAAGAAAATTACACTTTTTTCTCTTTTTTTGTTAATTTCATATAATCATAATAATAACAAAAATATTACTAATACTAATAATAAGTAGTAGTAGTAGTAATACTAATTCAATAGTAGTGATAATAATAATTTAACTATTATGATAAATAATATTTGATAAAAATAAAAATAATTATTACTATTATTTATTATAATTATTAACAATAACAACAACAATAATGTTATTATCTTTTTGTCCAAGATCCACCTTTTTGGATGGAACAAAAAACCTCTCTTTTTGTCCCATGAATTTGAGTTTTTGTCCATTTTGTCCCACCTAGTTTTTGTTCCATGTCATGCCAAGCAAGGGACCTATTTTTGTCCCGTCTCGTCCCATGTAGTCTACACAGAAAACGCACCCTAAAGTACCTCCACACCCACCCATCTACAGTCATCGCATTGAAAACGTCAACACTGAATAAGACTTTGATGCACATCAAATATCCAAGTCCGAATGAACAACTAGAGACCCACACTTTAAGTTGGTCAAAGATGAAGAACTTCCTTAACATTCGTGACAACTAGAACATTTTTCTAAAGATCCATTGCTAATCATGTGAAAAACTAATTTCGAGAGCTTCATGTTCCCAAATCGCTTTCACATTAATTTTGACTCCATCTGCAAACACAACTTTAATCTTGTTCCAATGGTTTCGATTTGTGCACATAGAAAAACATAAAGCCGGTTCAAATGTTTGTGTATCTCAACAGGAAAACAAAAAATGCACCCTAATAATTTTTTTGACTGATCTATCAATTAGAACATACCCTTTTTGTCTTCGAATCCTCACTAGTCACTAATGCAGCAAGTGATAAATTTTGATGATTCCAGAAAATGGTGTGGGATGAATTATCGTGGCTGGGCTGAATGTAGAATGATTCTAAGCCTTCCCATAATCGAATTGCAATATCTAGGATCATCGAATTTTCTACTACGGCCCCTCATATTTCAAACTTCACATTTTTATTTTGGCCCCTCGAACAATGACACATATAACCAACTAAGCCAGTTCCACTTGTTCAAGTCTTCTTCTTTCGCTTCAGGGACAGAGGTTCTAGGGTAGGTAACAGCAGGTTTCTGAAGAAAGATGTAAGCCTTCCCATGTAGGATTTTAAGGAATAACCTGGCTTCATGAAGAGGTATTTACTTGGCTATGGGGGTTCATTTTTCTTTGTACTGTTTTGTTAAGTTCAAGCAAAGTTTTGATTTCAGACAGAAGTTACAGAGCTTCATGCCATTTTCTATACTGTAAAATATCTAAACTTACAAACTCGTAGACATCTTTTCCTGCCCCACTTGCATCAGCATAACTGAAAGTTTAAGAAAGCAAAAACAATTAACACATCAAATATAGTGAGCATTAACATTCGCGAAATTGAAAGATGAAAAATATAAGCATTTATTGCATTCCAGCAAGTAATCAACACTATGTTGCCTCGATGGTTCTTACATCACATCCATTAACAAAGTAAAGCATGTCAATGGAACCACATTTGCAAGATATTGTTTCACTAGGCACCTTATAAAAGTTAATATGACAAAAAACTAGCCACGCAAAGAAAAAGAAGATATATACACAGACGAATGAACAGTATAAGCATCTAATTTCACAAAGTCAGGCTCTGCCCACCTGAAACCAATGAGATGTTAGAACTAAAACTCATACATTAATCTTAATGTGGAGATATTTTTTCTTAAACCGTATTAATTAAACCCTTATCCCAAAAGAACTGCCCATTTTTCTATAACAATAGAATACCCTTCATTAGAATCACAGTTGGCATTTTTTGTATTTATGTGGCTATCCGGACCCAACATATGGATGATAGCAGAATCAGAATAGAAAGCCTAAGCTAACCTTGAGAGCTAGCTCAACTGGCAAATGGAGGCTAGGACTTAAGATTCCTTCCTGTATCTTCATGGCCTCATGAGATTAGTCAAGGTATGCACAAGCTGGCCCAAACGGAACACTCAAGGTTACCAAAAGAAACTAGCTTATGTTTTAGCTTACTGAAAAACCCTGTTTGATAAGCTTAATAAGCAATCTTCCCTAAAGGCTACTTCAGATTGCTTTTTCAATAAGCTCCAGAGTTTTTTTCACTTTTCTCCAATTATACCCCACATGGGATAACTAAATATTTTTCACCAATTCCTTTTAGGTCATTTCACATTGTCATCTAATTTATTAACTAGTTTTTACCAGAAGTGAAGCTAGCTTATAAGCTATCTTTTTTATAAGTTACTTCAGATAGCTTTTCCATAAGCTAGCTACTTGAAAAGCTACTTCCGGTAGCTTTTCAATATGCTTCGTGGTTTTCTCACCTTTTTCCATTTATACCCCTTCTGGATTAATTAGATTATTTCAACATGGCCTTTTAGATCATTTTTCATTATCATATAGTTTATCTGCAAGGTTTTACCAAATGTGACTAGTTTATCAGCCAACAAGTAGCTTTTTTTTTCTTTCTTTCTTTTTTGTAAGGGTGTCCGGGCCAAAGCCCGACTAATCCCCGGCAAATTTGGAGGCTAAACATGGCCCCACTTAAATGTCGCCAACACTCCCCTCCCAGGGCTCGAACTCGGGTTCATGACTATGCCATGCCCAAGCCTTTACCACTAGGCTGGAAGGTCTTTGACTACTATGCCATGCCCAAGCCTCGCCAACAAGTAGCTTATTAGCTAGTTTTCCGAACATAGCCTACGTGTTGGGTTGTGAATTAAAGTTTGAATTTTTAAAACATCCAAGAGTACTGTGTACAGAGTCAAAAAAAGGCTCTTTCTGAACGGGGAACTATAACTCAAAATGGGCTCCCTCGCAAACACCTGCAACTTGTAAGTTGTAACCATGGCCTTGCTTCAACATAGATGTCTAGAGTCAAAAATTGTTATCTATAAAGTTTAGGTAAAATTTCTTCAGCAAGCAAATATGAGAGGAAAAGAAGAAAGTGCAAAAGATTTCTGCTCTTATGCTAGCTACAGGCCCAATATGAATATAGTACTTTTATGATGGATGTAATTGCAAGTAAAGACAATATCATTCTTATAAGCCTTAAACAACCAAGGGTCATCATGTTCTTTGAAACAAAATTTAAACCACATTTGACTTCATTTCAGATTTTATTGATTTGATATTGCATTAAGAATTTTATGCTTACGCAAATTATGCACCTTCAATAAGTTTAACATTATTTTTGCAATTTCTTCAACTTCTTATAAGTTATACTACAAATGTTGCATACGGCTGTATGTCAAACAGAAGTTGCAACAAATAGATTAAAAACCTATTATACGAGATAAAGAACAAGTTCACCAAGTCCCTGTTTTGCTGTTTTTGATCGACTCTTAGTGGATCCACCTTTGATCGTTATGAGATGGTGCATTCTAAGCTTGTATGTTCATCATAACCATCACTGCATAATAGCACATGCTGAGTAGGATCTTCCAAGTATCTTAATCATTAACACTCCTTAATAATACTTTGACCAAAAATGAGTCTTAGGAAACCCCAACCATACCCAGCTCAAATAGCTAACAGAATAAGATGTCGGAAAAAAAACACATTCAGATGTTTCATTTCATCAAATTACCAACCTATGTACATATTAACAACATTGCTTCTTAATCTTTTAATCAAAATTGTAATCATTATCGAGCTAAATATAACATATACAGAACACATTTTTAACTCTACAAAGAACAAAATAAAGAAAAAATTTAAAGTCAATGTCCACTATGCAAATAACATGTTAACAAATAAAAATAATGAATTTGACAAGAAAGAAAGCAGCAGTAAGAGGAGAGCAACAAAGTTCTGATTAATAACAAGGCACGTAGGTCGTAGCCTTGATATGAATTCTTGTTGAGTTATTTGGACCTTTCCCTTTTGAGTAAATTTAGAGATTTCGTCCCTGTGGTCATATGAAAATTAAGGATTGGGTCCTTAACCCTAGAAAAATATACAGAGCCCTCGTGGTTTCATGGTTGTTATGGATCAAGTCCTTCGTCCTAACTCTGTTAAAGAAGTTATGTTAAGTTGGGTAAAAAATGTGTAATTTACTCTTCCCCTTTACTTTTAGTCTATAAGATAAAAGTCTCAAACCTGTATGCCCATAAAATGAGAACCTTAACCCAGCTTGAAAAGCCTTTGTGGCATGAACCCAACTTGAAAAGCCTAGTCCACACTCAGGTAAACTCCTCTAAGAGTATTACACCTAGTCCACACTCATGTAAACTCCTCTAAGCATGTACCTTGGAAAACCTTTTTCGCAGACTCATTATGGTCGCATCATTTAGGTGGCATCTCGACAAAGATGCACCTAAGGCAACTCATTCAATGTATCTTCTCTTCAAAACTTTCTATATATGTGAAAATGTGAATCTTGCCTACCCCTACTCCTAATATCATCTTCTTGCCTCTCTGTACAGGTCTCATTTTCTAACAAACGAACCCTAGGGTCTACTGCATAGTATGATTTCCCATTTGGTTGATGTTAACAACCAAAAATCCACATTATCGTTGTTTTTGTTACCATTCAAGAGTTGAAAGGCACATGCATAACATGCCAATTTTTAAGCTTAAGGAATCACATGTCCTTTAGAAAGTCTCTGCAGACACACATAATATGCCAATGTTTAACAAATCAAATGTCCTTTAAAAGTTCCCATTCGACCGAGTCAGCCAGTTCTGCACTATACTATTTGAGGGTTGGATAATGTCCAAAAAAATATAATACAAGCATCAGCTATCATTTCATACTGCTTCAAAGAGAAATACAGTTTTTTGCGAATTTTTTATCCAGTACCCCTTTCAAAACAAAGAACACGCGAAGGTGTTTATAGAGAGCAAATTGAATATAGTTTTGGGCAGGTTGACCTTACGGTAGAGAATCATGAGCCACAAAGTCAATCTGATGCTTATCCATAAATTCCTGGTTAAGAACCCAAGGGGCATCTGGGATAACTTCATCAACCCACCTGCATAAAGTAGAAATAAGGAACTTTCAACAAGGTTCATCAATAACTAAAGCAGTTTTAAAGTTATATTAAAAAAATACATGAAATCACATGTGAACATGCATGCATCATGAGTAGCAAACTCACTTAGATAAAAGCTACTGATAGCTCTCATCAAGAGAGTTTTTGTTTTACTCCCTTTTGTACCTTTATTTCTTGTGCAATTCATCTTTGTAGTTAGTTATTAGTCCTTTTTAGTCTTTCTCCCAGGGCTGTTGGTCTACATTGGTCTATTAGACGGTTTTAGTTCTTACAGTTTATGTTGTCAGAAAATGTGCCAGCATAGTCCTATCAAGGCTGCAGCATCAGGATAAGTGAAGCTGGAGGATGTTTTGGCAGATGATGTGATGAGTTGATGAAAAGTTGAAGAGAGAAGAGTATGTGTATGTGATGATGAGAAAACGTCAAGCTCAAATGGGAGGAGTTGGTGAAGTCTTCTCCTTGGTGGGTGTAAAAGCATCAAGGGTGTTGAGCTCGAAGTTAACAGTAATTAATTAATTAAAAAGGTGACAGCATTGAGAACGGAAGAAAAAGTTGATAAATAAGTACCATTTCTGATGAACAAGGAAGAACCAATGGTCCATTGGGGGTTTTTAAAGCTTCGGTTTAGCATCTATTTAATGAGGTTGAAATGAAGACAAAGGAGAGGTCTTAAAAGAGGAGAATTTAGTATTTAAATATGGAACAATAGCACTTGCATTTCTGTAGTTCAAACATCTTTATTTCTGCCTTTACAGCTTTGTACTTTCCGTTTTAGGTTACTTATATAGTTTGCATTTCTCTGAGTTAGTATGAGAATGTCTTTTGGTATTTACTCTCTCCTCCTCTGTTTTCTTCATGTGTGTTATGGCCTAAAAACCCTTTTGGTGTGGGTATGAACAAATCCTAAATTGCAAACATGCAGTAAGATGCCATTGTTTCCTGTTGCAATTCTCAATATGTTCATTCATGTGTTCTTATATTACAGCACTATGCAGACAAGTGAATCACTGAGTGAAGTGTTCAATTGTGTCGAGACCCATGAATGAGTTTGATATGCAACATCAACTCTAACAATGGAAAACAGGTTTGGAAAAATTAGCAAGCACAGTTTGATCTTGTGTCGCTTAAAAATTAAAAGTTTGTACCTAAACCTGAGTTAACATCTGCATAGGAATATCATTTAGCATTTTTGGGTCTAATGTCTTTAGACTTGATAGAATTCTCTTATATCTGTGCTAACAAAGTTGAGTTATGCAACAGAATACTGCAGCTCCCAGTTGTTGTAGCAATTCAGGTGAAGTTTGTACCCATACTACTCCCAAAAATTTCTGAAGTGTTAACAATGAAAACCAACATTATTCTTCAAATTCGTTCCCTAAAGTCGGTATTTACTTATGCTCATTTCTTACTTTGAACTCCAAGCCCTATAGAAATGATATCCGGTTACTACACTATTGTATTACGTGTTAGGCAATTTAAGTACATGTATACTTGCACAAGCTTAAATACTAATCGTTGTGATAACAAACGTCCGTTTAAATCTCGCAGCAGCTACACTTGTGGCTACTAGACTACCATACATGATGCTATTTATGGTTTTTTGTTTTGGAAAATAATCTCATATTTCCACAAATGACCTCCAACAGTTCATATGGTCCTCATTGTACGAAAGTACCATTAAAAGGGACTGGAATAGGTTTGAAAACAAGTAAATGACTACATGTAAAAAAAAAACACGGCTCCCTATAAGGAATAGAAGTACTATAAAATCCAATAAAGTTACAGATCACTGGAACTAACAATCAGAATTTTCAATGAGTACATCAAACATACTTGCAATGACGAAGGGATTCATAGCGCTCCGTGTCAGTCATGACTGTTTTCCCCTTTAGACTGTGGGTGACCTCATCATTGCAGCACCCAACCAAAAGATAAGTATTTGGAAACCTATTTTGGGCATCACAGAAATTGCAAGTTAGAAGATACATACACTTCACTTGCATATTGTATTTTAGCATGATTTTTGCATTGTATAACTAGCTAACATCAGAAACTAACATCACTAAAAACATACAAATATTTGCTTTTATTAATAACTACCATTTTACCATCAACAGCACATACAAAAAAAGAGTTTCTTCCCCACAATCACAGTAAAAGAAACTTGAATAATAGAAACATAGGTTTGTCATTCTTGGATATGGCTTAGACAGTCAAATATGAACTGATAGATTAGATCTCAAAATCAGACACTTGTACCAACATTTATGGAAGAATTCAATTTCAAATCAAAGCTATACTTTACATGAAATAGTAGGATGCTAGCTTACATATTGTGGGTAACAAAAAGAGAAGAGAGTTTGTCATTCGACTGATTGGATGTTCAATATCCACAGAAAAAAATTATAAAAACGGTTGCATGCAATGGAATCAAGCAGCCTTAGGGGCTTTTTACCAACCTCTTACCGAATAAGCGCTTACCCAATGTCACTTACTTTACCAGGTGAGCATGGCAAGGACCAAAAATCTTACCCGGTAAGAAGTAAAGCAAGGATCGAGAGTCTTACCTGGTAAGTGAGGGAGGAGAATCTTAAATGGTAAACGCTTATTGGGTAAAGATGCTTACTAATAACCCATTTTGATGGCTAAGAACACTACCTGTAAGGTAAAGGGCCATTTACCAAATGGTTACCGGGCAAGCGCTTACCGGCATGAGAAATTACCCTCACTTACCTTATCATGTAATATTCTCGGCCATCAAAATGGATTGTTAGTAAGGGGCCGTTTACCCAACACTTACCCGGTAAGTGTTTACCGGTAACATTTAACACTATCATTTACTTACCGGTTATGATTTTAGTCCACCAAAATGACATCGTATGCAACAATTTACTTGGTAAGCGCTTACCGTGGTAAGAGTCATCGCCCTCACTTACCAAGTAAGACTCATGTTCCTTGTCCCGCTCTTACCGGGTAAAATTCTTGGTCCTTATCATATTCATCGGATAAGTTAATGTGACTTGGTAAGCACTTACCCGGATAAGCGTTTGGTAAACGGCCCATTACTCTCTCTAGTTGCAAAAACAAACTTAAGTATGTTTTATGCTCAGGGGGATAGGTCAACAAAATCATATGAAGCAGGGGCATGGAAGATGAAACACCGACTGAGGGACCTGTTATTAGAAGGAAGAGGCCATTAGTCTTATCTATATCTAGTACAAGCAAATAGACCAACATCTATTATTCTAGATGTCAGGCCGGCCTAACTCCTTGCACATGAAAAAAAACCGCATTTTCTAGAAGCAGATTCCACAATTCTAATGGGGAAGGATTATCACGGATGATTATATGAACATATCACATCAGCCAGGAGAAAACCATAAGTGATATTGACTGGAGTAGTCCAAACTTGAAAACATATTTCAGGAGTTCAATATTTAAGGATCCATGTGAATGTTTCCCAGGATTCTCATCAAACTAGTTATGCCCCATAGTGGGCCATAAGTTCCATCTCCCAAACATTTTGCAAATTCTTCTGTTCTACATCAAGATGGCCCAAATCTTTCAAAAGTTTTATGCCTAGCATAAGTTGCCTGCACAATCAGTTATTAACCCTATACTCCTACCCATGGAAATCCTCCTATATTATAGTTCAACGTGATATCAAACACCTCAGGGAGTTGAACGTGAGGTAAGTACCATAAACGAGGAAAGTGTATGAGAAAACTCAAAATCAAAATCGATCTAATAGCCCAACCCATTAATAAAGGAAAATGCACCCTCAAGGTCTGAGAAGTTGCGTGCCTGATTATCCCTTTCACATACCGTTTGATTTTGGTTAACTTGTTGGGAACCACTCATGGATGAAAACTTTCCGACTTGCAACAAAATTTGAAGCCCTTTAACCTGCCAGGCATTCAAACCTATGGCTCCAACTTATCACAAAATTTACGTTTCTCCTTCTCCATAAATCAAAATTGCGAAATAAAACCTTCATCGACTATGACGATAAACCAACAGCGGATCACATAGAATACAGATTAATTGCTTGCACAAACAAAAGACGCAATCCTAGGCAGAAAACGAAAAAATTTGATTGACAATCACGAAAGAGGTAAGTGAAAAGTTACGATTTCTTGGCTTGTTCGAGGGAACGAGCATGACCGAAATGGAAAAGATCGTATATGCCATCAGCATAGACACGAACCGGCCTGTCTGTGGGCGGGTCGAGCATCCAGATAGTCTGTTTATGCTCCTTGTTTTGTTCATCCTCCATTGAAATTGAAATACGAATACTGGATCGATCGGCTTCCCCGTCGGTTTCAGACAGATTTGGGGAATGAAGACGGAAATCAATACCCTTCGGTTTCTGGGGTTCAATTTTTATATATTCGTTAAATGTGCGTGGATCTATTCATTCATGATCTATGGGCACCGTGTGTCAATACATAATAATAAATAATAGACGTGATGTAATTTCAAATTAATACATTTCTTTAACCCATTTTTTAAAAGGGATTAATTCGGAGATTTTTATAGCATCTGTTATTTTATGTGATTTTTAAAGTTATGGTTGAAATTTTATGTAATGATTCATATATATTTATTTTATAACATGAATTTTTTTAATTTTCTCTGGTCTTTTCCATTGTGCGTGGCATGTTGACGAATTTGGTTTATTTAAAAATTATGTAAAAATATTAAGATGAAAGTGATTCGTTGATTTACTTATAATAAAATGTAAATGTATTTCGTTTAGAATGTGAGCTAAAAAAAACAAAACTCATATACTCACGTTATTTTGTTTTATCGTATTCTCATCAATGTGGATTACCAAATTCAATATCAATGGAATAATTATGAATACTCAAATATCATAATACCATATAATCTTCGTTAGTTTTTCTTTTATTATTTTGATGATATTTGACATTGAGATATATTGATTCGTTAATGGTATGTATGTTTATTTAATTTTTTTATGTAGATTAACATTTTAAGAGGGTTGGCCAAATTGAACGGACTTCATTGGTTTAGAGGGTCAGTCAAAATGAGTTAACAACATGTGTTTAGACGATCGGTTTAAGGGAGTCAACTCCATTAGTTGTCACAAAAGCATCTCAACCATTTTTCATATACATGTAATTCATTATCAATCTTTCATATCTCCATCAATATGAGATAAACAAAAAAAAAAAATTCAACCACAATTCAATAAACGAAAATTACTCAACTATTTGGGTGTAACATCAATCTTGTGTTTGTTCACTTTTATACTTTAATTTGTTTTTAACTTGGTATTTTGCATGATATTTTAAATGTATTTCGCACTATAATTTTACCATTTGGTTGGATTTTTATTCCACTTATGGTTATAGATATTAAAACATCCGAAATAAGACAACTTTATGCATCAAACCTCATGAATTGACACAAAGGCATCCAATCCGCATTTCTTATACACACCACTTTCTACAAATCTTTCAAGTTCTCACCTATGTGGAACAACTAAAACTAAACCACAATTTACCGTTTGAGAATACTTCCGATCCACTTTTCTTATATACACCACTTTGTTTAAATCTTTTAACTTCTAACCAATGTGGGACAACAAAAACTCAATCACAATTCACCGTATAAAAATACTTTATTCTTATGTTGTCACAATAATACCCTAAAGTTTTTATTTTATATATATAAAGATATAATTATTTTTATATAATAAGATTTGTTTTGTAAAATAGTGTCCTCCAAATAAGATTTATTTTTATATAATAAGATTTTTATTGACCTGAATATCCAACCCGTTATACGAGCCGACTAATCCCATGATGACCACCTGCTTCGTAGGTAGCCCGGAGTCACCGCATTTGAACCTCCATGGTCATAAAAGAATTTTTATTCCTCCTTTGATTTAAACCTGATATGTTTAGGTACTTTTATTTTTTGAAACTCAAGCTCAAACCAATCAAACACCAACCTATGAGTTAGGCAACCCATTCCCATTATACCCATGCTTCTTGTTTTTTTATAGCATGTTATATCATCTTATTTCTTGTTCTCTCTTTTCTATCCACCATATCTTCAATTTGTAATTGAAATCATTCCTTAGAATATGGTGTTGCAGGGTTTTTTTACCTTCTCTTGCATAGTTCCCACATTACCCTAATTACATGGTTTTATTATATTTTAATTGGTTCAATATAACATAAATAATAACAAAATAAATGCCAAAAAAATAAAATATTGCATGATTGAACACCACTTTATAATAATCTATACTATCTTATTAAGCAAATTTAGCAAAAGTCTTAAAGTCTTAAAATTTTAAATGACCAAAATACCCTTTATACTCACTTTTTCACCCCCTTCTCTCCTCATATACACTCATCCTCTCATATACACTCACCTTCTCAACAACGATTTTTTTTAAATTATAATTTTAAATTTACACTTTATACACCTATAATTAATTAATTAATTTAATTTATGTCATTTACTTTTAAATGTTTCATTCTAAACATTTATCAAATTAACATACATAATCGTATATTAATTAAAACATGTTTAAAAAATACATTTTTATTTTAACAAGTTRCATCATTATAATCGTCTCGTTAATACCTTCGAAATGAGTCCAATATTGAATAATTTTTGACTTAATTGTATTTATATATTATATGTACTGTGAAAAAATATTTTTAATATTTACGATTTATATTTTTATAGTTATTTATTCATATATATATACTTATATTTTGGGGTTAGGCTATCCAAATTGCACTATATAATATGTATTGAATTAATATGTTATTGGGTTTTTTGAAATATATATATACATGTATTAATTCAACCTTAATCTGAGTTTCTGGACAAGAAAGAGGGTAAACAGTTGAAATTTCATTCTAAAACCCAT